TTATATCGCAGCATTAATTTGAAGAGACCAGAAGTTATATTATATTCTTGCAATTTTTCAAATGAAATGCATAAATTTATTCGAATATTCGTATTTAATATCTTAGAATCGATGAAATACAGCGAGGACCAACAGTTATATTATTTGTGTAAGTACGAGTAAAATCAGGATTAAGTAAAATTTATTTCCGTAAAGATTTAAATAAAATAATTATTTTATTCCTTAAGTCATTAATTATTCAAAGTAGAATCTCGCGGGAGAAGACATTAGTTGAATCTTCTAACTCATTCGAACTTTTAAAGATGTAACCGGAAACAATTTAACACGGATTATTAAAATGAAAACTGGTGTCTCTTTAATTAATATATTATTAATTACAGTAACAGATTGTCGCATATATATACATATTTCTTTTTGTTTTTCTAAGAGAAAAGGATAATAAAACCTTAAAATTATTAACTAAAAACTTTTGAAAGAGTTCACAGATGATTCTAAAATATTACAATTTTAATTAATTAGACGATCANGAGTCGTGCCGGTCATCTATGTACCTCCATTCAGGGGGAATGTTTTGAATTGAGACCACGTGACTTCCGGTCTGGAGCGGAAGTTCGTACATAGTTAATCGGGCCTCCTGCCCCTAAGCTTTCTATACCTGGTCTTGGCTTTCAATTAACACTGTTCTCGAGATCGATAAAGGACAAACAGTGGTAATTTATAGATCTACAATTCTTTCAATTCAATTCTTCAAATTGCAGCCCAATAAAGAGGAATTGTCATAAAAATTTTCGTTATATAAAGACGTTATAAACAGCGGAAAAAATATCCGGCTTTAAGACACACCCTAATTTTAAGTTCGAAAATAACGAAAAAAAAAATCCGAAACAGTATAGTATTATTACGTTTTCAAGCGTGTTTCATTCATAAATAATTGTGATCAGAAATGTCAGATATTTGTTTGTATAGTGATGAAACTGTGTAACAAGAGATGAAGACAGAGGATGGGGAGAAACCCCTGAAATTACATTTTGAGATTCTTATTTCCGATGTTGGTTATATTTACGGTTGCAGATTTTAATGCGACAGGGTCATGTTCTCTTTAACTTAAAATTGGAAAATGGATGTTGGAACATCAATCTTACTGTTCTGAATTTTTTTTTTTGGTTAAGATTTTATATAAAAATCTAAAAATTTATGACCGGCAACGAGCTTTGAAACTTTTTCTTTTTTATTGATCCATTCTCCTGCTTTTTCTACAGTCTTTTCTTTAAATTTAATGAATATTTTACTATTAATTTAAATAAAAACCCCTTCGTCTGCATAAATGGAGTATTCAGACGTTGTGGTAGTGGTTTTGTAATGGGGCAACGTAACACATAAACGATTTAACAAGAGATACCTCCTGGGAGTACTACTATGGGAAACTGGCCCCTATTTAAATATTAGAAACGTGAAGAAAACTGAAAAATTTCACAGGGACAGCCTAGGTGTTAATCCGCGACCAACTATAATTTTCAGTGGTGTTACGCATTGAATAATCTTATATAAAATACCATTATTTCACGTTAAAAATAATTTTTAATTATTTTAAACTAAAATTACGAAATTATATCGCAGCATTAATTTGAAGAGACCAGAAGTTATATTATATTCTTGCAATTTTTCAAATGAAATGCATAAATTTATTCGAATATTCGTATTTAATATCTTAGAATCGATGAAATACAGCGAGGACCAACAGTTATATTATTTGTGTAAGTACGAGTAAAATCAGGATTAAGTAAAATTTATTTCCGTAAAGATTTAAATAAAATAATTATTTTATTCCTTAAGTCATTAATTATTCAAAGTAGAATCTCGCGGGAGAAGACATTAGTTGAATCTTCTAACTCATTCGAACTTTTAAAGATGTAACCGGAAACAATTTAACACGGATTATTAAAATGAAAACTGGTGTCTCTTTAATTAATATATTATTAATTACAGTAACAGATTGTCGCATATATATACATATTTCTTTTTGTTTTTCTAAGAGAAAAGGATAATAAAACCTTAAAATTATTAACTAAAAACTTTTGAAAGAGTTCACAGATGATTCTAAAATATTACAATTTTAATTAATTAGACGATCAAATATTCTAAGATACAATACACTTCCCTCTTTATGACCAAGTTGTTTCCCGAAATACCGCTATTGAGCAAGCGTTATATACAATCGAACCTCGATATAGTGCTTTCCTGAATAGCGCTATATCGAGTAAATTTAGTTTATAGTAACACTTCGTTACTATACACTAAGTTTATGTACATTACTTTATTACAATATTACAGATAGTCTTCATTATTTTGTTACTATATTATACACAGTCTTCGTCACTATACCTCGCGTATTGTAGCCCTTATAGTAGTGTGGAATCGTAGAAGTTACGTTGATCATTGTTCGTTTTGCTATAGGTAAAGCATTGCCCTGAAGGAGGTGCGAATTCAAGTTATTTTGTTGGTACGAATCCACCACGTGCAGTAGATGACTTTGAAATCGTCATTACATCGAGAGTAGTGTTAAACTAAAGACCTTAACCGATAAAATACATATCGGGTGAGCCCTTTACTTAAGTGTTACATTCGATTTAACGCCGATTTCAACTGTGGCGTTAATTCGAGGTTTGTTGTAATGAAATACAGTAGATCCCCTATAACACTGTAGATAATTCCGTGTTATATGAATTCCACGTTGTACGAGTCACTTAGATTTTACAAATACGTGAGCCGTTCACAGCCAGGCACACGTATTTGTAAAATCTAAGTGGCTCGTACAACGTGGAATTCATATAGAACAAAATTATCTACAGTGTTATAGGGGGGGTCTACTGTAGTTTATCAGTTTTTTTTTTTTGTGTATTTCGTCGAAGGGAAGTTTTCTAATACTTTTTTTTTTTTTGGTTCTTTTCTAACTTTTTCTAAATCGATTTTATATTACTGAGTAAAATTTAATGTAATTCTTTGCCATTATAATCTCATTAATTAGTGATTTAGTGAGAAAACAGATGGTCGAAAGTGATTTTTGTTGTCGAAAAATAATTGAATTTGAAAAATATCTTTGAATTATATATTTCAAAAAATGCATATTTAACAAATAAATATTAAAATTACATTAAATATAGTTCATATTTTTGTGTTTAAGTAATAATTATTTAGATTATTTCTTCCGTATTATAAAGATAACAGTATTTTAATTCTTTATATACTTATTTTGACAAACGATAAGGTTTTCAATTGATTAATGGATATTTAAAATCGATTTTTATAAAGGTAAAATGTTTCAGTCGACTGAAATGGCGATTCTAATTAAGTTTTTTTTTTTTTTAATCAATTACTTATAAAAAGTTTAGTAACTTTCCCGGCAAGAGTTAAAACTGTATATGGCGCCATCTGTTGCAAAATTTTATTCAAAATTTCTTATATTATTAATTATTATAAAATTGTTTAATTTTTTGGGTAGAGACGAGTTGTATTTTTATTTTTTAAATTGTAAATGCTAATAACAAATAAAATCATTAAGTCCGACTCCACTTGAGATGTAATAGTAATACTTGACCTCCTTTTATCTTCCAACTCCCTCGACCTTTAACCTCCAAAATTTAATAGCATAAATCCTTTTAAAACACAAATCTCTTTGCAAAATTTCAGGAATTTTCGGCAAAAATCACAGGAGTGAACAAGAGCCACCCTCTTCTTACACTTATTGGCAATATGAGGTTGGAACGAGTGACTAAGACGAGTGCGTCATACTTATGTCATTATTAAATTGTGACGTAACCGCAGTCACTATCGTGACGTACTTGCTTGATATTGCATCCCAACGCGCTTATTTTATTATTTTTGTGAGGTTAAAGAGCATTAAGGGTGAATTATGATTTCTAAGCAGAGAAAATCGTTCGTGATGGTCGACGAAAAACATTATTTAACGTATTTGGTAGCCGAAAATAAAGATAACATCGAATGCGACTAATTGTATTAACATTTCTAAAAGGAAAAACATAGGGCGATATGAATTCTGTTCGTACATTTGTAAGTATATTGTATATTATCTTTAATATTGAGTATAATAACAAGTCCATATTTGTATATAAATTGTCTAACGTAGGTTTTTACACGTGTAAGCACCATCAGCTGCAGGTATTCGCTCGTGTTTCTCTTCAGCTGCGACTTTTTATATTCTTCCACTCCTTTATTAACCGCTCTGGTGTTCTCTAACAAAATAATACAAATATTTTTTGTTATATTATATATATACAGTCAACATGCACACGTGAAAAATCCTATCAGTTACAGAATTTACATAGAAATTTGGACTTATTATTATATTCGACAGGTTGAAAATCCTTAGTAGCATTTGCCAATCTCAAGATAAAGATAGAGAAACGAGAGAGATAGAAGTATATAAGTATTTTGTTCCTCTTTACTCTTTTATTCTAGGAATCAATCAGCTGTAAAGAACAGACACTATTCTTTACAGCTGATTTATTCCTAGAATACTTTCTGTAAGTTCAGTATCATAGACTTAGATTATGTTCAAAGACGTATTGTGTATTTTAAGCACCCAAGAGTTATACATATATAAATACCTTCCGGGCAAAAAATATATATGATTTATGTTTTAATACCTGGAATTAATGATTTTCAATACTAACACAAATTTAATTTTTTTTCTAGCAACTTTTCTAATTTGTATGTAGTTTTCTGCCTTACTCCTGTACGTTCTCAGTAAATCAATCTTAAGCTATTCTTTACGATATACTTTCGTACAGAGATGAATAAAGAATAAAGTGCTGCATAAGGTACAGCCATTATATAAAGTATATAGGCTCACCAGTCGTATAATTCAGTTCTAATATTTTCAAATTTAAAAACTATTTATCATATTTTTAATTTATTATATTAATTTTAAAGTAAATTGTATAAGAATAATCGTTATAATTAAACTTTATATATATTGATAGATATAGGTTTTCAAGTATCAAGATAGAATAGATTTCTGGGAAATTTTGTGAAGATAATAAAGTATAACAAAGAAGAGAACATTGAAGACAAAGTTCAAATCGAAGATGACACGGAAAGCGTTGAAAAACATTGCTACAGGTACATACTTTATACATTTTTCTTCTATTGTTTCTAAGTTAAAATACAATCGAGAATAATAAAAAATTAAAATATTAAATTGGGAAGATATTAAATATAAAAATGTATTTATATTTTAAGTTGGAATTCTTTAAGTAACGTATAAGTATACACGAGACCCACTCTCGTCGTTCTCTGTATAATTTATAAAACTGGGGCTTTTATAGGGGCTTAGTACAGAATCTATATAATATAAGATCTAGAAAGTTAATCTATGCAATTTTAAAAGTATAAAGGTAGAAAAATATGTGATAAACATCAGAAGACATGAAGGATCTCTGATCGATCTCCACGCTCCTATCTTGATTATATCATAAATATATTTATTATCTTGATTATAAATACTTGTATAGAGTATGTGTAGTGATTATCAGTAATGTATAAAATCCATTTCGTGCCGTATTCAGTACACAAATCACCATCTTAAATTGATTATTTCGTTTCCATTTTCTTCCTCTTCAACAGATTCTTCTTCTTATTCTCTGTTTGCACGTACTGTACATTAGTACACACGCTACAAATTATGCTGCTGATTCAGAATTTAAACAAATTTTTTACGAAATTATATTAACAAATCGAAGAAAAAATAAAACAAGATAATGATAATCCTTATTTTTTTCTTGAAAATTTAATTATTTGAAGTTTATAAGAATGTTCTTAGAATAAAAAATAATGTAAAAAATCAAGAATTATAATTAATTACACTGAACTAAAAATATAAAACAATAATAAAAATTGATTGTTTCTTTATTTTTTTCTTTATCTATTTTATGATATATCAATATAATGTCTTATATTCCATGATTTGTCAGACAGCACTTAAAAATATATATATATATATATTTCGAGACTTGTGATCAGTTTAATCTATCTATTGTAACTGACAAATGGTTTAATGTGGGGGAAAATGATTTTTGTGTCAAAAAGAACTATACTACGCAGTAATAACTGTTATTTTTTAAAACTTTACGAAACTGGAAACGGAAATGATTAGGATTTGGAACTGAGACATTTCATCATCAATTTGAAACTCTCTAGCAATAGATAAATAATACCAGTAGTTGTATAGAAGGAAAGTTCAGATGAAGAAAATAATAAAGATTTTGAAGCGAAATCACTACAAAATCTTTATAAATGTATTTTTGTTTTAGTGAAGAAAAATAATACAATGTGACATTATTTTTATTCTTCTTATACATAAAAAATGTCTTCTAACTACTAAGAGTAGAATATTTCTAGTCATATATACAATATATATATATATATACTCTGTGCTTCTCTCTTCTCTCTCTCCAGTCTTCACTCTCTTCACATTTCTCTCCTCCTCTCCTTCTTCTTCTCTTTTCTTCTCTCTCCACTCTCTTCTCTCTTCTAGTCTCTCTATTTATTTAGCGAAGAGAGAGAAAATAATATTTTCTATTTTATATATGAATATAAAATAGAAAATATTATTTATTTACAAATAATATTGATAGAACAGAATGCATTTAAAATTAATTGAATTCACTATGGATATAGGATGTAGAAATAATTAGAAATCTTTTTAACTTACAAGCAGTAGGAAATTGAACAGAAAAATGAAAGTTAAAGTTATGTAGATATATACAATGAATAAAAGAATACTTTATAATTATTTTAATATTAATGACAAGATATCGCAGGAAATACTAATAAATAAATATTTTAGGTTATTTACATTTTTTAATTAATAAAAAGCTGTTTATACAATTATCACTTACCTTATGTGCGTTCAATTATACGACTCGAGCGTTTAATTTTAACGTGATATTATCATAACAAAAACTTTAAAATTTTATAATAAATATGAATATTTATTATAAAATTTATTCATCATTTATTTATTTATATTTATAATTTTAATTCAGAAATTTTCCCCTGAAAGGTGTTAGATAGATGACCGGCACGACTCTATTGTTAAAGGAAAAGTATGATGTACAGGGGAAGCCAATAGTAATTTGAGGTGGAAAGCATATATTTTAATTATTATAAAAAAAACAATTAATTAATCTATGCATTTACCTTATGTATATATGTCTATATATTTATATAAGATACCTGAATATAAAGGTATATATAACCAGACCTCAGAATAACGCCAATAACTTATGTAGGCTATATTTTAATATTTCTTTTTTGTTACATTATAATGAATTTTTATTATATGTTTTAAATTTAGTGCATTTTAATATTAATTTACTAAAATAAATACAATATATACAGAGTATATATGTATAAGATACATAACGCATGCCTACGAGTGTGTGTGTGTGCCTTATTTTATGGAAGCGATACGAAAATTGCAGTATAAATTATTAAGAATTTTTCATTGTATTATTAAATATGTAAAATAAGTGACAGGAAATGTTATATTTAAATATGATTTGTAGTAAGCTTAGTTACTTCGAAGGAAAAAATTCTCTTATAAAATTCAATGTTGTTAAAACCAGATTGGTTTGCCAGAATCATTAATCCTCCATTTCATTATTCTCGCTTATTACGTTACTACCGAACCACAGCTCTTTTCAAAATATATCATTAATCATTGGGATTCTTTATCAATAAGTCATCCATTTTTAATTCTTTCTCGAATTTATCAATATTATTAGTCTAACGTATTTCATTTATTAAAGAATGTGCAGGTGTAAAGCGAACTATTAAGTAAATTCAAGAATAAATTCATAAAGGTTCCTTTGTTTACAATAGCGTAATTTTAATTTACTATGACTTTGTTTTAGTCACCCAAATGTAATTTTAGAACTGTAAAACGTGACTAAAACAACGTTAAATCAGTGCAAAACTTTATAAGGTAATATAAAATCTAACAATGGCCGAAAATAATATATCTAAGTTTATTCATTTTATCAGGAAAGAGAAAAAATTAATATAAATTTTCCACTGTAACAAGAAATGAATTTAAATATAGACTAGTCTTTATAGACAAGTCTCATTCCTTGCTGCTTGGGCTTGCAAATCAATGTCATAAAATCATAAGGAAAAGCAAGAACATTTTATTTTAGATATTAATTTTATATTGAATTAATGTGAAATTTTATATTCTTTCGTGTAGAAGATAACAGATTAAGAAAGGGTTGAATTGGATTAGTAAATAAGGCAATGCAATGTATGGACAATCTGTTAAGAAATTGTCTCTCAAACCAGTTTCCATAGAAGAAAAAACCACTGATCATTCCTAGCTAGTTTAAGACTCATTAAAAAGACTAACCACGTGGAGTTTTCCATGTTTTCTCACGTGTCTAACACCTACATAAAGACCAGTTTCTCTGGATTTGATAAATGGAATAAGATAATGCAACACGTGGGCTATCTGCCAAGAGAAATGTCTCTCGGGAGGACTTTCTATGGGGAAATTGGCCTGTATTTAGGAATTAGACAAGTAAAGAAACACTGGAACTTTGAACTTGAGGAACTTCATATGGCCATCACGCTGGTTAGGCGCAAATCCACCATCATCTACTAGTGTTTAATGGTGTTATCTTCTCGGTCACTGATGGGCATATTAAGAAAGAATTGCAAATAATCCATATTGCGCTTTGGCTAAATAATTTTAAAGTTATTTTTTTAATTCTCTATTCATCTATGCATAGTTTACAATATGATAACGTTGATAATATTTTTAAAAAATGTAGATTCTGATAGCAAGTAAGCGAAATCGTTTTCTATAATTACACATTTCAGCATTTGAACTTTCGTAATTCGCGAAATTATTGTAACGTGGTAATAAAATTTGTGCGTACTTAATAATTAAATTTATTACATGAGAATTTTTATAGCTTTGAACTGAATTAAAAGATAACATTTTGCAAATTTAATAATTTAGCTTGCTGTTTTCCAAAATTTTCGGATTACCGCCCCTTAGAGTGAATATATTTCTTATATATATTGTTCCAAAATGAATTTTTGTTCTCCTTTTCAACACCCTCTTGAGTTTTCTACCACCCTCAAGGAAACTATAGTACCCATTTTGAGTTTATTTATTGATTTATTTGGTTACGACAAAGCAACACGTAAGCGAGGGGATGCCTCCTGGAAGATCTTTTATGGGAAACTGGCCTCTATTTACACGCTACAAATGTGTTGGAGATACGCGAACCCACGACTAACTACCAGTGTTCAGTGGTTTATCCATTCGTCCCCTTTGGAAATCACTTTTCAATATAAATCTCTTAGCTTTCATCTTTTAATAGTCATATATAATATACAAATGCTTAATAAAAATCACCTATCAGTAAAGTTCAGCTTCAATTTGATAAGGGGTGAGAGCGGTGGTAACATTAGCTCAGACTTATTGAATGGCAGCATAATACTGAAAAGACTTGATGAAGCACTCTTAATTATGCAATGTAAATATTCCCTAATTAATAAGATGAAAGATAAACTAAACTTTTTCAACTAAATATAGATTTAATATTGATTTATTTTTACTTTTCCGTCTATTATAAAACAGAGGTAAATAGTTGTAATCGATCATCTCGATTCCTAAAAATAAGGTTTGAAACTTTTAAAAATTATCTCTCTTATTTCTTGAAGCTCTTAACCTCGGAAATTCCTACAACAATCTTTGTCAAATTTTTTAAAAATATCTTTTATTTGTGTCCTTATCTAATATTTTCATTATCGGCCAAGAATAAATAATGATTTAAGCCAAGAATTTGTTTATATACAACATTTTTTTATTTTAGAAAATGATAAGAAATGAATGGATTTGGTTTATTTGTATACTGCACACGTGGTCGATCTCCCGGTAGGACTTTCTATAGGAAACTGCCCCTATTTAGGTGTTACAAACGTGAAGAAAACCCTCAAAACTCCGCATGAACCTCCCGTTTAAAGTTTACGAAAATAATAAATCAGTTTCGAGTCTCTTCTAAACTGTCAAACAGAAAAAAAGTAAAAGAAGATTTCGAATTTAAGAATAAATA